TTCCATTTTTGGATATCCTCTTTGATATCTTTTTTTCAGAGTATTGTAATTTTCAATGTATAGATCTTTTACTTCCTTCATTAGATTGATTCCTAAGTATTTAAGTTTTTTGGAAGCTACTATGAAAGGTGTTGCTACCTTAAATTCTCTCTTGTTTGTTTTATTGTGGTACAGCAATGCTGCTGATTTTTGAGTGTTAACTTAGAATGTAGCTAAGAAACTAAATTTGATTAGTAAGCCTACAAATATTTGGTGGACTTCTGGGGTCTTCTATGGAGAATATAATGTCATCACAAATAATTACAATTTAATTTGTTCCTTTCCTGTCTTTATTCCTTTTATTTTGCTCTCTTGTCTAACTGTTCTAGCTAATGTTTTTAGAACATTTTAAATAGGAAAAGTGACAGTGGACATCCTTGTCTTTTTTCCTGGTTTTAGAGTAAAAGCTTTCAGTTTTTATTATTTAGTACGATGTTGGCTGTTGGCTTGTCATAGACGGCTTTTATCAAATTGAAATAAAGACTATCTATTCCAATTTTTCTGTAGGGTTTTTATCATGAATGCGTATTGGACTTTTTCAAATGCCTTTTCTGTGTCTATTGAGACGATCATGTGGTTTTTGTCCTTGGCTTTCTTACTGTAGTGTATTAAATGTATTGATTTGCATATGTTGAACCATCCCTGCATCCCTGGGATGAATTCCACTTGGCCATGATGAATAATCTTCTTGATGATTTGCTGCATTGTTTGCCAGAATCTTTTTGAGGACTTTTGCGTCTGTGTTTATTAGGGGGATTGCCTGGAGTTCTGTTGGTTATCTGTGTTGTATCAGGGTCATACTTGCTTCCAGGGATGAATTAGGGAGTACTGCTTCTCCTTCAATTTTATTAAAGCATTTCATAGTAGTGGCATTAGATCTTCTCTCAATTCCTTGTAGAATTCAGCAGCGATCCATCAGGAACTAGGCTTTTCTTTGTTGGTGAGTTTTAAATTACATTTTCAACTTCACTGACTGATAACTGGGTTATTTAGAATTTTTATATATTTTTGATTCAGCTGTGGCAATTCATATGTATGTTGGAATCGGTCCATTTCTTCTGTATTTTCACTCTTATTAGAGAACATGTTCTTGAAGTAGGTACAGATGATCTGTATTTCCACAGGATCCATCTGATTCTAACCTTTTCATTCCTAATTGCTTGAATGTGGGCTTTTTCTTTCTTCTTTTGGTAAAGTTCGTTAGGGGTTTGTCAGTTTTATTTAGCCTGTAAAAGAACCAACTCTTTGATTAATTGAGTTTCAGTATTGTCTTGTTAGTCTCAATTGCATTATCTTCTTTATTTTATTTTATTTTATTTTATTTTCGGTACCGGGGGTTGAACTCATGACCTCATGCTTGCCAGGCAGGGGCTTATGCCACTGAGCTAAATCCCCATCCCCAATTGCATTAAGTTCTGCTCTAATCTTTATAATTTCCTTGCTTGTACAAGGTTTGGGTTTGGTTTGTTCTTTTTCTAGAAATTTGTGATTCACCCTTTGGCTATTAGAAATCCTTCTGTTTTTCTGGTGTAAGAATTCATCGCTGTAAATTTCCCTCCTAGGACTGCTTTCATTGTGTCCCAAGTTCTGTATGTTGTACTGGCATTATCATTTAATTGCAGATACTGTTTAATTTCTTCTTTAATTTCACCTGTGACCCATTGCTTGTTCAGGAGGGTGTTATTTAATTTCCATGTGTTTATGTTGTTTCTGTGGTCTCTTGTGCCATTAATTGCCAATTTCATTGTGCTATGGACAGATCATGTGCATGGGTACTTCCAGCTCCTCTGCCTTTACTGAAGCATGTTCTACGGGCTGGTGCCTGGTCTGTTTTGGAGAACGTCCTGGCTGCAGCTGAGAAGGATGTGTATCGTGATGTGAAGTGGAGCACTCCCTAGACATCTTCGAAGTCCGTTTGTTCACAGGGAGAGCCGGGCTTGCTCCTTCTGGGCCTTGCACAGCCTTTTCCATTCTACACCACCGACTCCTTTTACCTGCTGGTCACAGGGTGGGGTGGGGGTGCCCTGTCCCGCTGCAGGCCGCAGGCCGAGGGTGCTTGCCTGCTTGTGCTGCTGTGGCCACTGCGGCAGAGTCGGGGTGGTCCCAGCTGCTGCCTCTCAGCAGAGTTCCCTCCAGTCTGCTCCAGCTGCGGGTGTCCATGTGACTGGGTGGCTCTGCCTTCCCCATTCCACACGGGGATGTTGGCAGTGCAGCCACCCAGGACTGTTCCGCGGCTGGGGTTTATCCTGAACCCACTGAATACAACAAGGCTTCTGTCCTCCTGTCTGCACACTGAGACACAGCACCAGCTCTCCTAGCTCAACAAGTGCCGGCTCTGTGGGGCTCCTCAGGACATGGCCTCCAGAGGGCCTGCTCCCTTTTTCCTAGGTTTTGATTATTATGAATAACAATCGTGATTTTTTTTTTTTCGTCTTTTTGAGACAAGGTCTCTCTATGCAGTTCAGGCTGACCTTGAGTTCACTTTGTAACCGGGGCTGGTTTTGAACTTGCAATGCTTCTCCTGCCTCAGCCGCTTAAGTGCTGGGATTACCAGTGTGCACTACCACACTGGGCTGCATAATGTTTGATTCCTATAAAAATTTGCATACAAGTTTTCTTTTGTGACTGCATATTGTTGTTGAAGTTGGGTAAAGACCTCTGAGTAGGTTGCTGGGGAGTGTGTTAGCTGTTCAAGAACTGCCACACCGCATGGGTACTTCTGAGGTTCCTGCCAGCCCCACGCGGGGTCCCTGGGCCCTGCGTCCTCATCTGGCCCTGGCTTTCTCCTCTCCTTTCTAACTGATTCTGCTGCTTTCCCATTAGGATCTAAGTTTGCATTTCCTGCATGATGCTTTTCATATGCTTGTTTGCTACCTGCCTATCACCTTGGTGAAGCCTCCATTCAAATTTTACCTGCTTTAAAAATTGCATTATTTACTTATTGTTGAGTTTTGATGCTTCTTTACATCTTTAGAATATAAATCCTTTATCAGGCGTGTTCTTTTCCAATACTTTCCTCGCAGTCTGTGACTTTTTTTCATGAGTTACAATGTCTTTTGCAAAGCAGAATGCTCTAATTTTGATGATCAATTTTTTCCTTTATGAATTGTGCCTTTGGTGTTATATCTAAAATATCTTTGTCAACTTTTGTCACAAAAGTTTCTTTTGAATGTTATTATGAAGTTTTATGATTTTAGCTTTTGCATTGATATTTGTGGTCTGTTTCGGGTTACTTTTCACTAGAGTGCGGGGGTATGGATTAAGCTTCATTTCCTTGTATGTGGTTTTTGTTACAAAGATGATTCTTTTTCCACTGAATTACTGTTGCGCTTGTGTTGAAGAGCAACACACAAAATATATTTGAGTCTATTTCTGGTCTGGATCTTATGTTCCATCGAGTTCCTTATCTGTATTTTATTCGATACTATACAGTCTTCAGAATTGCAGCTTCCTGGTAAATCTTTGAAGTGGATAATGAATCTTCAGCTTTGTATTGTTTTCAAATTGCTTTGAGCTATTGCAGTTCCTTTGCCTTCCCACATAAATTTTAGAACCATCTTGTCAATTACATAAAAAACCTAGTCTGCTGGGTTTCCAGAGTTTGCATTCAGTCTACAGATTCAACAGGAAAACTATCTTAACAATCTTGAGCCTTCTACTTCATGGATGTGGGACATTTCATATTTATTTAGGTCTTAAAGTTTTTGTTGGTGTCATAGTTTCAACATGCAAATCTTGTATGTATTTTGTTGGAATATATATATATATATATATATATGCTTTTTGAGATAGGGTCTTGCTCTGTAGTTCAGGCTGAACTTGAGCTCACTTTGTAGCCCAGAGAGGCCTCAAACTCACAGCGATCCTCCTGCCTCAGCCTTCTGAGCGCTGGGATTATAGCCATGCACCACCATGCCCAGCCCTAATGTCTTATTTATGGGTCCCTTAGGATATTTTTATTCACAAGATTATATGACCAAATCTCAATGCTTTTATTCCTTTCTCTTGTCTATTTCCCTGGCCAGGGTGTTTTGTACAACATTACATAGAAATGATAAGTGTAATCTTTGTCTTATTTTTGGTTCAGTCTTGTGGCATTAAGTTTAATTCTGTTTTTTTTTTTTTTTTTTTTTTTTTTTTTTTTTTTGTACCAGGGATCGAACTCACCACCTCGCTTGTGCTTGCCAGGCAGGCGCTTGTGGTCTTGAGCTGAGTCCCTAGTCTCTCTATCTGTGGCTTTTGGGAGCACATATTATTTATCAGTATGGGGAAGTGTGCCTCTGTTCCTAGTGTGTTGAGTGTTCTAATAAAATAGTGTCAGATTTTATTAAATTCATTTCTTATGGTTTTTGAAATGATCATGTGGTCTTTCCTCCTTCTATTTGTACGGCATATTACATCAATAGTTTTTTAATATATTGAATCAGAGTTGTGCTCCAGGATGAACCGTATTTGTTTATAGTGAACAATTTTTCATGTATTGCTGGACGTTGCTTTCTCATATACATTTTTAGTAGATACTCTGTAGAACTTGTGTTTATGTCGGAAAAGAGACGGGTCTGCAGTTGTCTTTTCTCATGTCTTTGTCTAGTTTTGGAATTAGGGTATTACTGGATTCTAAATGAGTGCCAAGTGTTCCTGCCTCTTGGATTTTTTGAAGTTTATTTCATAGAGTTTATGAAGGACTGATGTTAATTCTTGCTTAAACAATGTAGAGTTCACTAGCGAAGCTATTTACTTTATTTTTTAAATTTTTTTATCGGTACCGGGGATTGAACTCACGACCGCCTGCTTGTAAGGCCGGTGCTTATGCCGTTGAGCTAAATCCCCAGCCCTGAAGCTATTTACTTATATGATGCTTTTGAAGAAGTTAAAAACTGTTTGGTTTTAGACGCATTGAAGACTATTAATAGTTTGTGCCTTTGGTTATTGCCTTAATAATTTTTTATTTATACTTTCAGAAATAACTCAGCTCCCCAAAGATCAAATCCACCAATTACTGATGAGTTGAAAAATTTGCAGCACGAAGGACTTATGTTTGATGGGCTCAGTTCTCTTTTACCTGATGGAACCCACTCAGCTAAGAGACACTGATGGCACATCCCTGTGTGTTAGGTTTAGAAGGGAAATTCTGACATGAGGGTAAGGGTTTAATTTGCTGCTGGTGTGGAGGGTTTAGCTGATATATATCTCTCCAAAGTATCCCTCAGTCTAAAGAATACTATCATTAATGTATTATATCTATATATTCCCCAGCTATACATTGATAAAAGTGGGAGTTTCTGATCATACAAAATCATTGTTCATTTGGTAATAATTCTTTTGGTAATTGGTAATAATTCTTTTTGGTTACTATAATTTTAATGTGCCCAATTCTTATTCTTGTAAGTGGGCATTGAGTTCTTTATTCCTTTTGAAAACTTAACTATTTATTTCCATTGGAGAGTCTCATTGTTTGATAATACCTAAGATAACAGATAATTTAAAAATTTTTATTGTTTTGTGTTCTCTCATAGCTGGTATTTTGCTATTTTAATATTAATTCATGTTAATTAATAGAGGTTTGACTACTATCCTTTAACTAGTAGACATTTATTAAAATTATCACCATGGATCAAGGAAAATAAAATACTAATAAATCTTGGTTAATTGATACCTTGAATACTTTCCTTTAGTTCATTTTATTGTTGTCTACACTTTAAATAAAGATAGCTACAGAGAGAATATTCTGTGAATAAAGAAGCCTGTAATATACATGAAAAAAGTCAGATGAATGTCTAAAAAGTTTAATTTTACTATCCTTCAGTCCAGACAACTGCAAAGTATTCCTCAGTGTAAAGAATATTGCTGGAGCTAGAAAGAAAGGAAATTGTGCTCCTGCAAAGTCTTAAAGTGAAAAATCTGTAGCAAGATGAATTGTTAATCACTCTTCAAGGTCTAATTCTTCTTATTGAATTTTCTTCTTTTGGCCCAGTGACATATTCAGTGAAGGATCATGATTTTATACAATTAATTCCATCACTATAAGTACTGAAAAAGGAGAGGTTATTAAAACTCGGGAGACTTCTGAGTTCTGGTAAAACCATTAAGAAGGAACTAATGTGATAATAAAAGGAAAAGCAATTCAAAACTTATCAGCCTAATAAAGAATATTACCAAATATCTTAGAGTAATAAAAACCTTTGAAAGTGAAACAAAGGAAAAAAACACCCTGCCGGCTGAGATTAACAATCTGCTATGATGGGCCTGGCCCTCGTTAAATCATGCATGCTATCGTGAAGAGGATATTTAATTACCAAGTGATTTGTGACTCCTTTCTGGAAGAGTTATGGGGGCACAAGTGTTTTGGCATCAACGCTACACACACGAGGTCCAGCCGCAGCGTTGTCTATGGCATGGTACTCACTTGTCTTCCCTGGGATCAGATTAGAAGTAACTCGCCCCTCAGCAAGAGAGGGAGTCATACATACGATGCATTGAAATAGCATCACCCTGCCAAGAAGCACAGAGTATTTCATCGATATGAAGGGAGTTGGGTGTCAGGAAATGCTTTGTGGCAATATGTACAAGTCTCTTATCGTCCTGAAGGGAAGAGAGGATTAGGTGTTCGACTCTAATTCCTTCCCACGAAAGAAAGGCTGGCTTTCCCCAGGGTTGGCTGGCGCCCATCTCATCCTGGGTCTGCACGGGATTATTGAGCTACAAACTTCCATTTCACAGCACTAGAAATCACAGATGAGTAGTCAGAGTGACAGACATGCCAGCCACTTCCCCCACGCTGCCTGCCTGCCCCATCTCTACATCCTCACAGCTTTCTCTTGGGCACAGATCTATTCTAGTTTCTTTCCCTCCTCAATGTTGTCTCCCTCTTGATAGGGTCTTAGCGATATCTTTGTTTTGGGGTCCTCCTTTGTAAAAACAATACTTCTAAAGAGCTGGGCTTGGTGGCGCATGCCTGTAATCTCTGCACTTGAGAGGCAGAGGTAGGAGGATCCTTGTGAGTTTGAGACCAGCCTGGGCTGCAAAATGAGGTCAAGGTCAGCCTGAACTACATAGTGACACCCTATCTCAAAAAGACAAAACAAACAGAAAACCCCAGTACTTATAAAAGGTGACGTTTCTCATAATAATCTCTGGGGATTAAAGAAAAAAGTGGGAAGGATTTTTAAGAAAATTGAATCTAGGCCCACCTCCCCATGTTCTATGACAGGTAACCAAGCAAATGGTGTGTCCTGGTCATAGAAGCATTGCAGCCCAGGAGTGGGAACGCCAGGCTTCCTGCACCTTGCTCACTGCCTCCTAAGCCAGCTCACACTGGGCTGGCAGAGGCATCTAACGCCGGGGTGGGCTGTGGATAGCTCAGAGGCACAGTGCCTTCCTTACCTGGCAAGCATGAGGTCGTGAGTTTGATTTCTGGGACCAAAATAAGTAAACAAATCCAGGGGCTGATGAAGTGTGGCACATCCTCTTCTAGCATCAGCTCAGTTAGAACCGCTCTTCGAAAACAGGCGAGTAAGGCAGGCGTGGGTGGTGCATCCCCGTAACCCCAGCTCTCCAGGAGGCTGCGGCCCCAGATTGCATGTGCCAAGCCAGCCAGGGTAACTGAGTGAGGCCCTGTCTCAAAATAAAAACATTAAAAAAGGGTTAGGACGTGGCTCAGGGCCCTGGGTGTTGTTACTGCCTCTCAGCCCCACCCCTCCCCTCTCACGGTCACTTGGTGTTGCCGGAGCTGGGACTCTGCACACGTGTCTGCTTCTCCAGCGCCGCCTCCTAGGCGCTGCCAAGATGGCGCCCGCCAGGCTGAGCCGGAAGTGCTTTATTTCCGGTTTCCTGTGCCTGAGCCTGAGGCCCAGTGACAGATCTTTACTTAGAGGAAAAATCAGATGTTTCAGTAGCAGTGCCTGCTTGTCACAACCAGCCTTATCCGTCACTTTAGAAGCCCCCAACCCAGACACCCATGGCCCCACCTTAGAGACTGACCCAGCCCTTGGGGGCCTCTCCTCTCTGCTTCCAGGGCTCATCCCTCGGCTCCCCAGCTCTAGTGTGTTGTGCTTTTTACATTTCTAAGGTGTCAATATTTTAACTAACTTTTTAATGTTACATTCTCTGTTAAAATAGGGGGTGTGGTTTCTGGTTTTTGACTAGATCCTGAGTGCTGTCAGTACTTCAATTCATATTTACTATTTTAGTGAAGTAATCATAAGTATCTAAAGAGTTGGACACAATGTATTTACATTTTTTTTTTTTTTTTTTGGTCTTTTTCATTTTTACCGGTACCAGGGATCGAACTCACGACTGCCTGCTTCCAAGGCAGGCACTTACGCCACTGAGCTAAATCCCCAGCCCCTGTATTTACATTTTAAAGTGAAAATCTCCGGGTGTGGTGGTGCACATCTGTAATCCTAGTACGCTGGGAGGCTGAGGCAGGAGGATTAAAAATTTCAGCTCAGGCTGGGCAACTAGTGAGAGCCTGTCTCAAAAAAAGGGTGTGGGATGTAACCCTGTGCGATAGCCCTGAGTTTAGTCACCCTCACTGCCATATGAAAATAGGAGCTTCTTCACAGGAATTTCACCCGTCTTCAGAAACACTTCCTGGATTCCCTTCTGGTATTGTCATCCTCCTGCTTAGGGTGATGTGGTGAGAATGTTTGAGAAGCACAAGCCCCATGCCCTGTTTCTGAGGGTGTTTAAGCAAGGCAGGGCACCGCCAGAGACTGATACCTTTATTTAAAGAGAGATGGAGACAGATGTTTGCTTGGGAGGATCATTTTTAGCAATTTCCCACAAATTTTACCATGAATTATAAGTCACATTATATCTCTGAAGATTAAAAGCTGCTATTCTCCTAATCAGCAGAGAATGGGGATGGATGGAGATCAGGGGCACTGCTTGTCTGGGCTCCATAAAATTGGAATAGAAAGTTCCAATTGTAGCTGAGTTGCCTACATATGGCCCAGGTGGCTCATGCGTGAATCGAAGCATTTATCAGCCCGTAGAGACAGCATAAGTCGCGACTTCTGACTGGAGCCCGCACGAAGTTAGCAGGTGTGGTTCATGCTGTTCACTGATGAGCGGGGCTGCAGCCTCGCGAGTGTGTGTGCTTGGCAGGCTGGCTGAGTCTCGCTCACAAGGCCCAGAGCAGGCGCAGCCACGGTGCACGGTCCTGCTCCTAATGTTCTTGGAGTACTTAAGGCAAGAGAACAGAGAGAGAAGCTCATCCTGGAGTGTGTCTCCAGAGCTAAACTGTTCACGATGCAGTTAATGCTGGGGGGAGGGGGTAAACCAGGCTGCATTTCTAACGTCATAAATGCGATGGTGACTAGGTGCACCTGGGTAGGGCGCCCCCTCGTGCTCTGTAGAGAAAACCAGGGCATGGTGGTCACACGGTGGCTGAGGAGGTGCCCTAGGGCAGGTTGAGTGGGACTGCACAGGTGAGTTCGGCCGGGCCTGTGGGGGTTATGGAGTGCAGGAGCAGATGTCCTCAATAGAGAAATCACATCAGTGTGCCTGATAGGGCGTGTTTACAGGAAGAGAGCTTCTAAAAGGGCCACTTTGGCACTGTGTAGAAGAGGGACCCTCGTGCCTTTGCCAGATCACCGGTGAGAAGCAGGAAGCAAGGCAAATGCTTGTGGGGCTGAGTGTCCACACAGGAACACCGGGCCATTCCGCACTGCCCCAGCTGGCAGGTGCCTCCCTCCTGGAAGGAGCACAGAGCACCACACCTGCGTGTGAGGTCTGGCTCCGGCACTTGAGATGCCTTCTCTAGCTGCAGGAAATGCTCTGGGCACCACGGCATGGCTTCCACAAGAGCTAACTCACCTGAGAAACAGGACCCGAGGCACACCACAGTATACCTTCACTTACTGACTGGTGGTTTCAGACGTAGAGGCCAGGCTGCTAAAGCATATCTCAGGTACACTCCTTGCTCGAGGGGCGGCTGCTACGTGGTTCTTCAGTGAAGAAAGCGGTCTCACTTTTCACCCACCTTTTATCAACTTTGTTAGGACACACAAGTCTTTTTTTCTTTTTCTTTTTTCCCCTCACATTTCAGGATCACTCTGGGAAATGGCCTGAGGTATTCTCAACACATAGAAATGAAGTCTGGTGCCCCGCTTAGATATAGTCTCCTGGAAAATTTGTTTGGAACTTTTTCTTCTCTTCTCTTTTCTTTCTTTCTTTCTTTCTTTCTTTCTTTCTTTCTTTCTTTCTTTCTTTCTTTCTTTTTTAAAATCACACTCAAGAGGCTGAGGCAGGAGGATTGCTGTGAGTCTGAGGCCAGCCTGGACTACATAGTGAGTGTAAGGCCTACCTGAATTATAAGTGAGACCCTGTCTCAAAAACAGAACAAAACAAAACAGAATCAGGGCAGCGAATTTAGCTCAGCGGCACAGTGCCTGTCTGGGAAGTGGAAGCTCCTGAGTTTGATTCCAAGTACCCTTTTCCCAAAAAAAGTCAGTGTACGTTTATTAGTGCATGTTTGCAATGCATGTAGTTACATTCATTTTAAGGGATCAGCACAGGTATGTGGCGTGTCTTGTTCACTCTCAGTTCCTTCCTTCCTTCCCTTCTACCCCATTTCCCTTGATCCTTTTTCCCATCCCCAAAGAGTATTTTTGTTTCCTATGGTCTGTCTGGACTTTTGCTGTTTTAGTTATTTATATTTTAGATTTCCTTATAAGAGAAACCATGCAACATTTAACTTAGTATGTCTGACTTATTTCATTTAGTATTATAGACTCAAGTTCCAGCCATGTTTTCTGCAGATGACATGATTTTATTTTTATTTACAGCTGAATAATAAATATAAATATTACATATTATATATAACATATATGTCACATTTTCTTTATCACATTTTCTTTGTTACATTTTATATTATATATGTCACATATTCTATATGTCACAGTTTGTTATATTTGTATTATATATGTCACATATTACACATGTCACATTTGATTTGATTATCTATGTCACATTTTCTTTATTCATTAATATGTCCATAGTCCTCTAGACTGTTTCTAGAGTTTAGCTGTTGTGAACTGCACTGGTGTAAACATGGGTACACATCTGTTGCTATAGTTGGTGGGAAAAAATGTTTCTGGGAATATATGCAGGAGAAATATATCTGAGTCAGTATGAATTTCTCTTTTCAGTCTTTGGAACTTACTTCTAAATACTTTCATCAAAGATCTTGAGGGTGTGCATGCAAGGACTGTTTACTTCTCTCTGGTACTGCACGGTCCAGGGAAGGTAAGATTGTACTCCCCACACCCTTGAAATCAGGCAAGGTCATATGACTTGATTTGTCCAATGAGACACGGGCAGGAGTGTTTGGGACCCAGTGCACCAGTCCATGCCCTTCTTCTTTTTTTTTTTTTTAATTTATTTAAAGAAAAGGAAACGAAAAAAAATACATGGAGATAAAAAAAAGGGTAGAAATAATACAAAATTACAGACAAACAAAAGGTAAGAAATTGCCGGTTGATAAGTTACACATTGTCATCTTCAAAATAGGTGTTCAGGTTATAGAATTAAAGTATTTAGAATGACATTCAAAAAGGTGACCCTACAAACCATTCTGCTCTATGATCGAACAAGAGCTCAGTAATATGATTATCAGTCCTACACATTTGTTTTACATCTCAAAGAGGGTAAGATTAACCATATCAAAACAGAACAGAACATTAAAAAAAAATAAAAAACAATTTAAAGAAATACAGATTTCAAAGCAAGTCCACTGGAGATCTTCATTATCTAACTGTCTCTAGCTTCTTATAAATAGTTGTCCCTGTCTTCACCCAATATATACTTATTGCATATTATAGAACTAATCAAATCATTACAGGATGATGAAGTCTTTTTAGGTCCTCAAGTTCCAAATTAGGGAAGACAATAGCAACTACCATCGCATCTCTCATTCTCTTTGTGATAGCCGTCCCCATCTCTGCATATGCTGAAGTTGAACTGAAGAAACCAGTCCAATGTCATTCTAATCAGCAAACAATAGATTGCTAGAATTTATATTATAATGCTACAAAATAAGCCTCGGGTTTCTCAGCATCTCTTCCTCAGAGTATTTGTTCCTTACATCTTGCATTATATAATCTGTTTCCGTAAATAATTTAAGAAAAAAAAACCCATGTGTGAATTTCTACCTATATATCTATCCTCTCTGTATTATAGGGAAAGCCAAGTCATAGCAAGACAGCAAAACAATTTCCTAGAAAAACATGCAATGGATAAGACATATAAAACTACAATATAAATGATCTTCTGTAGCTACTATGTTTTCTCTTGTTATTTTCAATAGATTTGTCTACAACACTGGCTTATTATAGTTAAACATACTATCACCTATTTTTATAAAAACTTAACTTTGACTGCATTGTAGGATTTGAGAGCTGTTACTGATTCATACCAGTATGGATATCCTTTACATCTTGTCATGCTCAGAGTGGTTTCCTCTACTTTTAGGGTTGATTCTAACAAGCATACCAATTTCAAATAGAATCAGTCAAGGCCAACCAATAGTCTTATGATTCAGATACAATTAAGATCAGTCATAGTAAGACAATGTAAGTAATACAGGATTTCAGCCTAAGTCAATAGGAAAGTAAGGATAGTTACCATGGTATAACCTGCTATTTTTGGTTCTAGAGGTCTGTGTCCTCAAATCTGACATGAGTGGACAGACCAGAACAAATTAAATTCAATCTAAATATGGCACTAGGACTACTGTGTCTTTTAAATTGGTATACACCATTAGCAATGACCTCTGCTTTTTTTTTAAAATATAGTTTCAGAGCTGTCTATACTAAAGACTAGCTTACCGTCTCTGCCTCATGTCTGCTACTCCACTTTTCTGCTATAATTTGTCCACCTTATTCCCTCATTCCATTGTCTGTCCCGTTCACTGAGGCCTCTCTGCCACTGTTGCTGGAATCCTGATATCTCTTCCTCTCTTTCTCTGTAATGTCCTTCAGCGCTCTCTGTAGGGTTGGATTGGTGGCCACGAACTCCCACAGTTCCTCCTTGTCTTGAAAGTATCTTATTTCTTCATTAATTTTTAGAGAGAGTTTTGATGGATATATGAACTTTGGTTGCATATTTTTTTCTTTCAGGACTTGGAATATTTCTCCCCATTCCCTTCTTGACTTAAGAGTTTGTGTTGATAAGTCTGCTGTTATTTTGATAGATTTCCCGTTATAGGTAACCTGCATCTTTTCTCTGGCTGCTTTTAATATTCTGTTTTTTTTGGTGGATTTCTGGGATCTCGATTATTATATGTCTAGGCGTAGATCTGTTTTGGTTGTAGGTAGCTGGTGTTCTGTATGCTTCTTTTATCTGGATATCATTTCTTTTTGCTATACATGGGAAATTTTGCTTTAATATATCTGTGAATATTTTTTGTATTTCATTTTTGGATGTTCCTGCCTCCTCACTCACATTCTTTATTCTTAGGTTATGTATCTTTTTGTCATCTTCCAGTTTTAGAATTACTTCTTTCTGGTTCCTTGTTATTTTTAAGAGGCTTTTTCTTTCACGTTCATATGCCCTAAATCTCTCTTCAAGTTTCAGAAGGCTGTCTTTAGTTTCTGTCAAGGCATTTTGCCAATGTTCAATGGAGTTTTTAGTTTCCTGATATTCTCTTTGGATCTGTTTCATGTATTCTAAGTTATGCTTAAATTCTTCTTCAGATGCTTCTCTTTCTTTTCTGATTTACTCAGTTCTTCTATCTGTGTTCTCTTGGGTGGGGCTTGTCATTTCTTTAATCTCTTTATATCTTGCCTCACTTGGATCAGGAGTACAGCTTTAAATTCCTCTATGAGATCATGTAGGTACTTTTTAATTTCGGCTGATGCTGTGTCTAGTAGTGGATGGTTACTATGCTTGTTCTCTTCAGTGTTTAGTTCTCCTGGGCTTATTTTTTCCTGTTGGGCAGCTGGAAATTTTTTTTTATTTTTATCTCTTGTCATGTTTCTGGTTTCTTTCAGACTGTCCTGGAGTTCTCTGGCCCTCTCCGAATTGCTTAGGGCCTTTCAGAAGCGTGCTGGCTTGAGTTTTTGCTGTCCTCCCCAATTTACTGTTATCTGGGGTAGGCTGGGATGCAGGGGCGGTAAAGGCTAGTCTCTAGTCTCTGTGCCAGTTAGTTCCTAAATTAGGCTGTACTTTCTGGTTGTCACTGAGTTGTGACTATTTTGTATCCGCTTATTGGGCCCCAAGCAGAAGCTTGGTTTAGCCCCAGTAGCTCCTGCCAGTTCTCTTTGTACCAGAAGCAGCTGAGTAATGTCACTATGGCACAGGGTTCTGCCCAAATCCCAGCCGTTCTCTTCCAATCCTCTCTGTGACAGGAGCACCAGAATAGCAGATCTGCCCAAAACCAAGATGTCTCCCACTAAGTTCTCTGTGTGGATCTGAAGCCAGCAAGTAATCAGGCTCTGCCAGGATTCAAGATGTCTTCCACCAGCCCTCCCTACAGGGGGACCTGGTGATGTCACCACGCTGCAGTTTCTGCCTCCAGGCTAAAATGTCTGCACCAGACTCTGTGTTATTGATTTCCCCGTGGTGGCGGGCCAGCTGTTCTCTGGCCAACCCCAGCAGCCGCGGGGTTCCCAGTACTCACCAGAGTCCGGTGCAGGTCCTCGTTCCGGGACCACTGCACACCTTTCCCGCACTCCCGGCACAGCACAGAACGGTGCACAGCGTGCGCTCCCGGCACAGTGCTGACCGGTCAGATATCTGTGCACCGTTTAGATTTGAAATGCCAGAGCTTTGTACATCCGCTCTGGTGCAGTGGTGCAGTCCTGGCTGCTACTTGGAGTCCCGGCCCGGGTCTCAGTTTCCTGCGGTCCCCAAAAGCAACTCAGCTTTTCCTGCTGGGTCCACGGGTCAGTTTGTTGATTTAAAGGCTCGGGATTTGCAGCCTCCCGTTATCAGCATTCACAGTCTCAGCACGACTTTAAATCCTCCAGCTATACTGTCTTGGTTAATAAGAATCGCTATCGATTTGTCTGGCCCTCTCCATGTTGTCATTTTTAGTTTCTAGTATGTATTCTCCGGAGAGACTCTTCGCTTGATCCCCTAGCAAGCCGCCATTTTGAAGAACCCATGCCCTTCTTCTGACCGCAGCCGTGCCAGGTGGCAGGTCTTTGGCACACTGCACCCCTGGTAACAATGACACGGAGCCGACTCCACTCCTTGTCACCCACCAGCTGATGCCTAATGGCCATGGAACATGAGAGATACATGATTCTTTATTTTTCCAGCTATTATCCATAATTTAGTTTTATTTTAATACAGAAATTGCTGCCAGGATCAGGGTAAGTAGCAAGAACAGACAATCACTCATTTTAGGAACAATCTGTAGGCAGTGAAAAAAATGGTTATGAAGTCTGGAAAGATGATACATGATACAATGGCACAAGTTTTGGCGCTTTGGACTGTGGCCTGTGTGCCAGCTGACTCTGGAGCACCAGGGAAGGAGGCAGGGAAGCAGAATGTTGATAGTGTGGACTTTTAGTGGGTGAACTTGATGACACAAAGTCAGAGAAGAATGGTTGGATTCTAAGCAGGAATTAATGGGAAACCTGAGGGTTCACAGTGTTGGAAAAGCTGAGCAGCTTTAGATCCCAAACAGCAGATAAAATTGAGAGAACATTTTGGCAGTGAAGGAATATTAAAGCAGAGCCTGGGACTCTGTGCACTGCGGCTGGCAGCTGCAGCAGGGAGGTTGCTCTGGGTCTTGGTTGCTCCACATCTGAGCACAGTTGCTTGGGGAAATTCTGCTTCTATCGTGCACAGACCTGTTGCTTCCTGAAGAAAATGCTTGGCAAATGTGCCGTGATCTTGCTTTCCTCAAGCAAAATTCTCCCTCAGCATCAGTTCCTCATAACAAGCTTCTGCTATCACCCAGCATGGGCCCTATTTGAAGGGTGCAGCTGTTGCCACTACAGAATTCAGAGTTAAGTTTGATGACTATCATGGTTAACATATTGCATCAACTTGAGAAGTTTAGAAGTTTAAAGAAGTGACCAGCAGGGGACTAGGATCCTCACCTGGCAAATACCTTCATCTTGTGTAAGAGGAGGGCACAGAGATGGTGTGAGTGCCACACCTGCTCGTGTGTGTGTGTGTGTGTGTGTGTGTGTGTGTGTGTGTGGTTAGCCTGTTACAATATAAGGGAGTAAAAGAGATTTGCTCCTCTCCACATTTTTGCTTTTGTTGCTTTTTCTGTCTTTTGCTGCCTTGAA